TTATTATTATCATCATTATTATTGTTATTATTATCATCGACACTTTTATTTGTTTATGTGTCTGAGTGAAAAGAAACACATTGCAACAATGACGGTCATTTTGTGCAAGGGAAAGGCAGTACAGACAGACAGAAATAAGAAAGGGAAAGAGAAGAAGTAAGACTTTTCAGTGGAGCGCTCCTACAATTCATTCCTATGCAGTAGAATTGCAAACAATGCCAAGAGAGTTAACAATAATATAAAGGTGCAGCCCTCTAGTATAATAGATGAGAAGAATTATGCGTATTGACGCGACTGTTTAACCATATAAAGGTGTAGCGCTCTAGTATAGTGGGTGGGAAGATTTATGAACAATGATGAGATAGTTTACCATAGAAAAGTGCAGCCCTCCAATATAGTATCCAGATGGCCCTCCTCCATACGGTCGGGGTCAAAGTTCATGCAGGCAGCTTCCAGGAAAGACGACGCACTGCTGACGTCACAAGGGGAAAGCATCCGTCTCTCCAGCAGCGGAGTGAAAGAGGAGGCTGGCTGCTCCCCACTATCGCCCTCACACGGCGGTGTCCCAGCGAGAGTCTCTTTGGGGTCATCGGGAAGTCCCAGACGTTTCGCTTTGCGGCGTGATTGTAAGTCAAGCGGTTCTAGAAAGTTCTCACATGTCCTCAGATCCAGGTCCGTTACAGATTCGGGAGAGGCGCCATCTTGCAGGGAGGGGGAAGTCCCCCGGTCCGAGGTCGCGCACTGATTGTCTTCGTCACTAACCCGAGGCGCGCACGACTTCATGTGTGTGTCTATTGCGTCTCATGGAGCAGGGCACGAGAGCGAGAGTAGTAGTCGTGGGGAATTTTCACACAAGTGGAACAAGAATAGACCATGCTCTTCTAGCTCTCTCCGCCTTCTGACAAATCACAGACAAGGTCTATTGGAACTCACGAGTCCGTAACAGGTAAACCTCACAAGCAGTCCCGAGGCTCAGTTCATTCTTCAAAAAGGTTGTTGAACTAAAATGCTCTACATAGCGGATAGAAAAACAACGTTTCTTTAAACGACAACGTAGCATAATATGACCTGCATTTTTTTTTTAAACCTTAATTTCTTTACCTTCCCGCCCCCAGCATACAAAACGAAGAACGTGATATTCCTTTCCACAACACATCACTCCATAGACCGTGCCCGTCACGTTTCCGTAATATAGAACACTAATTTTAATCATCTACTCATATCCACGCATGGATAACCCAATAGCTATTGCGTGCGGAGTTACAAAACGACAGTCCGCTTTTTTAATAAATATTAGAATCTTGTCACGATCTTGGTGAATTTAAAAGTTTAGAGGCATTAACTACGTTTAACTACATATATATATTTTTAATTGAACCTTCGATTGCAAAAGTTCTCACTGTGTTTTCTTGGTTGTGTTGTTCTTTTTTAAGTGGGGAAGGGGAGACTGTAAGATGGATAGAGAAGTTATGCTAATTGTTTAATTATACTGATGAATATATTTCTCGAATGGTAAGAAGGGACGCAAATGTGTGAGAGACAGGGAAAACGTATCTGTATAATATATTATGTGCAGGTGTGTGTGTGGGGAGGGGGTGGGGACGTGTGTGTGTATGTGTATGTGTGTGTGTGTGTGTGTTTGTGGAGTGTGGGTGTGGGTGTGCACGTGTGCATGTGTGTATGAGTGTGTGTGTGTGTGGGAGAGAGTGTGTGT